TCGGTGCCTAGCTGCCGTGCCACCAGAAGGAGGCACGAGGGCTGGGATACTGCCAAGTTGCCCAAGCCTAAACAGGGGAAGTCAAGAATCGGAGGTCGGGTTCGAACCACGGACCTTCCAGTCAGTAAATTCGCGCTCTAACCACTTGAGCCATCTCGCAACAGGATGAATAGGATTCAAAGTGCCTTCCCTCAAAGGCAGCTGCAGCGTGTGGCGTTAAAGAACCAAAGTGGCACAACTCTTTAAGCAAACAATCGCCAAACACTTTCCAAGCCCCATATGTGTTGATCAGACCTCTAACCATTGACCAACACGGTATCGACAGGATCCTGGAGCGTCATATACACCGGATTACGGAGGCGCATCAAGCACCAGTGACTACAGTTATGTCGTGCAATCCAAACAAACACGAATTCAAGATATACACGCAAGTCACGAGTTATATTAGAACAAGACATTGAGATCGATCCTTCGTAGGCCACAGCTTATCGCGAGGCCAATTCATCACATAAAAGCCCACCGCCTGGACTATTCATTGGAGAACAACGAAAAACTGACTAATCAATACAACCACAGTGTGTTCGAGGATGTCCATAAACCCCTGAACAGTTGGGTTATCCTTGTGTGGTTGGGAATGTGGACCACGCATAAACACCAATCCCAATCGATGGGTTCGCTGAAATTTCAGTGGACAAACAAGGGAATGAATGAGCTCACCAGTCCACAAAGCTATATTCAAACCACACAGATGCACACGTGGTTCATACAACCAAGGTGAACATAGTTTGTGTGCACTAGAGCCGGTCGGGATCGTTTGGGGGAGGGGGGGTGTACCTGTTAACTATAACAACTTTAGTCGACAAAAAAACATCGTCATTCGGAAAACCCGTGACTAAGCAGGACCATGGTGTCTATTAGACGGATGCCCCGAGACGGATGCTACGCCGAGGATGTAACCGAAAGATCCACGAGTAGCACACAGATATTTATTTTTCATCTACCAAATGAGTCAGTAACGGCTTTTCAAGGCCAGGCCTCACTGTGAGTCTTTCCAGCAAAAGAACGGCCAGATCAAGATAGCTTAGTGGTTAAGGCCCGAACATACTGACCGGAAGGTTCGTCGATCGAACCAGACCTGTGCATCCCGATTGCTGCCGTCTAGGCCTGAGCAACCTGGCAGTATCCCTGCCCTCATACTTCCTTCAGTTAGCACGGTAGCTATACGCTGGAAGGGTGTTGGAGCTGTATGATTATTACTACTAGTATAAGTGTTAGTAGTACAAATGGACAATTTTCGTCAGTTGGCTGGTGACTTCTAGTGCACAATGAAAAATGAAATGGTTTCGGCCCACTAGGATGAATCACGATCGAAATGGATGACCATGTGAGGTTTTTCGCCCGTTTGGTATTTAAGTACCCCCAATGCGGAACGAGTCAGTTTCAAGTTCGTACAACTCAAAGAGCTACCTGAGTGGGGAAAAACTAAGCTGGGCAAAAAAAAGTCATCCGAAGCATGCACTCCTATGGCATAGACATAAGTAATAGTTAATGAATACATGTGACTTTCGTAAATTAGACGACTGACGGAATATGTATGTGGGATAAAGTCCAACCTAGGCCAAGTTGCGTTTTTGGTGGAAACATCTCCTACTGTAAAACATGTCGGATGTGAGGACAATACGAGCAATTCTAGCAGAGAGGAAAATCACAACGTTTGAAATTTGGGTGAGAGGCATCATTCAGTTACTTGCATTCGCTGGGATTTTTCCAAAAGCATCGGATTCCAGTTGTAGTTGAGGAACAATCCGTCTTGCGCTGCGTCGAAAAACGGCTTGTTCTGCTCAGTCAAGCAGTTCTGATAGGCACACAGCCCACACCAGGCAGCAGAATCGTACCTAAAACAAGAAAACATTCTAGTTAGATGACACTATCTTGAGATCAGAAAAACGTGCGGGGACCGCAGCACACTTTGATTGGATTGAGAAAACTCATCCAAGAAAAGGTGACTACCAGGGAAACGTAGTGGCAGCGTTGGCCTCCCCTACCCCGGAGGAAGCTTTCCCCAAGAGCAACCACGAATTGCGTCCCATGTGGTCTCCTTTTCAGGAGAATTATTGTGCAGTGGGGTAAAGGCAAAATTCGCGAGTATTTGGGCGAGAAAATCCACGAGTGTGAATGGGTTTAGCGAAGGGGGCTGACTAAACACAAAGTGGTTCATTTTAGCGTTGGCCGAGTTAGCACCGAGTTGCCTGAGCCTTGAATGCCTCAATACCGGTGCTAATTTTGAAGGACAACTTCTGGAGCTAGAAGAAAAGTGGAGAGCAGCTAAACTACTGTTCATGACTACACGAATGTTATTAAAAACCTTGACGGAGGTTACTTATTAACGTCCCTTTTGAGAGTGGCGTTGATCAAGATACCGCGAACATGACTGTCTTACTGGGCAGGTTCAAATTGTATCATTCAGACAGCAAATATCCCTTTTCTAGTCTTCTATCGACCTCCTCCGGCTAACCACATCTTGAATGGTTACCGGTTTGCTAATTACACTGTTAATCACTGCCCCCATCGCAGTTCACCAGCCAATAGCGTCCCCACCACTCTTCAATATCCAGAAAAAAATGGACGCTATCTTCAGGCTGCATTGTCAGTCTCTGCAGGGACTACAAGAGTAATAATGCTGATCAAAACCAGTGCGAAACGTTACTAGAGCTATAGACTACACCGGTCGTGGACATCCCAAACGCGCTCCTCAGAGAAGGAATAGTCTGTCTTCCCACGACACACAAACGAATCCGATGACTGGCTTTGGTATAACTTACCTAACAATATACGACGCGATTGCATCGTACACTGTAATGTAATTGTAATGTAGTAGTTGATAGAAAGCGCATCGTCAAAGTATTCGAAGAGAGTGCGACCTAACACGACCATCACACCCACAAAAATAGAGCTTTTCGCCAAATATCCAGTTTCAACACGCCATGCAGTCAGTGGGGGGACGAACGTGACAGAGTGAGAAAAACAATGGCGACCGACCATAACGAAACTTGCCAAACGCTTTCAAGAAAAAGAACCTCACCATATCACTTCCGAACCCAAGCGTTTCAGCTCACGAATGAATTCCAAGACACGATTCCGAGTGCGGAGCTTTTAAGAAGAAACAAAAAACGAGCTCATTTGATGGGGGAAACCAATCCATACCAGTAGCGTCATGCTGAGCTATTGGTCAGATAACATGACGAGACTCCCATGGGATTGGAAAAAACATGTTAGCCAGAAATAATGTTCGAATGAGTTACTACCACCCATTCACCAACACTTTACCTAAAATTAATACTGCCAAAACTTAAGGCACCCGTCAAAGGCCATCAATCACTCAACCAAGTGTATGATTGACCACTGTTTCGGTGTTACCCGAAGGAAGCACGAGAGCTGAAATACTGCCAGGTTACGCGAGCCAAGACAGGAGCAGTCGAGATCCAAAGGTTGGCGTAGAATCACGGACCCTCCGGTCAGTGAGTTCGCGCTTTAACCTCTCACCTATTCCCAGCTCAACCTGGTGTGGACCGGCAGTCGGAGCACCATTTACCATACCTTCTGTCTACACCCACAACAAGCATTGTTACTGACAGAAACCGAGAGGAGAACGAATCAATTCCTTTCGTCCATTGCTCCCACTCTACTCGGTAGTTACAATATTTCCCAATCTTTTCAAACCTTTCAATTCTTTCGCAATATTGCAAACAAAAAATGTTGCAACTTACTCATTTTTAATCCTTGAGCCCCCCCCCAACCTCAATGATTGCCAACCTACTTCTGTAGTTATTTTACCAAAAATTAAACGTTTCTTCATCACACAACTATTGTTAAATCTCCGCAGTGACTAATAGTGCAAACCTCAAAGAAAACCGACCGACGATCCGCTCACCTATTTGACGAGCCTTCAATCTTGTAGTTTGAGCTTGACTGATGAAGTCAATACTGTTTTATTGCGCGTATCTAGGGGTTTCAACCGCGTTAAGAAGACCTCTTCCGTTAGATGGCAAGAAACGAAAGTTGCTGTGGAATTGAAAACTTTTCATTCGGGTGACCAATGCCAGCAGCTTTGGAAGATATACTCTAAAACAAACTGGACCTCAGTCGACCCAATTTTCGCTTAGTGTCTACGAATTTGCCATCCAACACACAGTGGTACCTCAATGACGACCTCGCAGGTGAGAACATCCTGAATTGCTCATTTGTAACTCCTCACAACCAGATAGCTGTCCAAGGTCGCATTATCATCAACCACACTGCTGATGTCGCTAAGAATATGGATTTAGGAGGAACAAACGTTCTGCTTCCGTCCACTTGATGACTAACTAATGGTCTTAGCAAGGATCAACACATTGGAGTGCATGTAACGGCTGTTTTTTCTGCTTCATAAAGTTGAGTTGCATGTCAGTGAAAGCTCCACATGAGACGCAGCCAGCTAATTTCAAAGAAAATCATTGGATTACGAACATAGTCAGGGTTAGCGAATATACACTCATCTGCAAACTAATTTGGTCTTTCGAAAGACTCACCTGGAACCCAGCTGAATCTTTCTTTT